GGTTGGACTGGTTCTGGGGACAGGGGGAGCTAAGATAAGCCTGGAACTGCAGGGGTTTGCAGGGTTGACTGGGGGGTAGAGAGCTGTGTGGCTCTGGGTGGGGCTGGGGTGAAAGGTTTGTGTGGGTTGAGAGCTGTATGGACGCAGGAATGGGTGCAGGGCTTTGGGGAGGGGAGGATGTGGGAGCTGGTGGACAGGTATGCGGTGGAAGAGAGGCCGGAAGCAGGATGGAGTGGGATTCGAAGATCGGGAGGTGTGGAGAGGGAACAGCAGGTTTGCAAGGGATGAGCTGCGTGCAGGGCTGTGGAGGGAACAGGTTGGAAAAAGAGGGGAAGATTTGGGATGGAGGATGCAGACCTGCTTAAGAGGATGAAGGATTTGTACCACTGCATTCTTGTAGATGCTGGGGTGGGCACTGATGGTGCTGGTGCGGGAGAGGTTGGGTATGGGTGAGGTGTGGTAGGAAGCTGCAGGTGCAGCAGTGGTGTCAGCAGTAGGTACCACCTGCACGAGGGAGGAATCTAGGATTTGTTTGTCTGAAGATGAGCTTTGGTCTGTGATAGAGCCTGGTGTGTGGGGACTGGATGGTAAGGCTGAACATCTGCTTTGTGGCAGTTCATATTATTCTTTTCTGAATCAATGGGGACATGTTACTGAGCTCAGCACAGAACCTTTTACTTAAAACTGGGATCCCGGTAAAAAGCCCCATAAAAGTCTGAATAAAACCCTTTGCAGTAAATGCATGTAGTTACACAAAGATAATTGAGCATGAAATCTCACATTAAACAGTGAGAACCTGTGGTACAGGAATTGGAAAGGCCATCTTGCAGTCCTACACCTTTATGCAGGGCACAACATCGTGGGGTCATGACGACTCTCCCCTTCTCTACCTCTTAAAATGCCAGGAAATGGCTATTGACAGGGACAGGACACCAGGCCTTTTGGTCCGATGGTGTGGTGGAGTATGGCAATTGATGTACTAGCCTGGCTGGGTGTGTTGGTAAATCCATTGTTTCAACAATGATGAGATGTTAGTGAATGCTGGCATTACTTGTGGAGACACAGGAACTGAGCAAAGGCATCTAAAATTGGCCATAAAATAAAAATCTTCTAATGTTTTTCCTGGGATTTCGATTGATCCTCTGATGTTACTACGGTTCAGCTCTGAGAATTGAGGCTAAAACATGCAGTGCATTTTGTAATGCTGGATTCAGGGCCCTAAAAGTAGTGCAGAGTAAAAGCATCAGCAAGGTTGCCTCCAGTCCTTGGGGACTGTCACCTTGCTGCCTTCTTCCCCTCTGGGAGCAGAGCAAGCAGGGCTGATGGGCACACTTCATCCAATTGCCCTGCAGGCCTGTGCGTTTCAGCTTTTCTTTCTCTTTTCCCTGCATTGTTTATCCATGCAGTTGTCTGAATCTCCTGCAGTAAATGCTAAAGCAGGCAGAGTAGATGATGTTTTTAAGGACATACTAAATTATCTTCATGCCAAGAAATCACTTTGTGTTGGCTGGCTCAACAAAAGACGTGGTTTATAGTTGTGCCTTGCTGTGCTTATGATGAGCTTTGATCACTTTCTACAGAGAGAGATTGGGATAAAGAAAAAAGTCATTTGAGAAGTGCCAGTGGCTCTCTTACAAACATTGGGGGCAAGCATAACTGCTAGTGTGGGAAAGGTGGTTTGAGCATGGAAATGTGATCCTTTCACAGCTTTAGATCTGCATAGCCAGTCTTTAGCTATATAGCCTCTCCACCATGATATCACCAACAGAAAACCCAAGGCTACTGTTGTGTTCATCACAAGTTAAAGAAAACTCTTAAACGTGCACTGACTTCACAGTTTTGCTTGTAGGCAGCATCTGAAAACATTTATGTGTAGGCTTCAATTTTAAAGGCTTAAAGAGTTGTTCAGTCTGATTTGTACAGGAGGAAAGATTTGGCTGTGAAAAGCCTGTCAGATTTCAATTAGACTTCAGTTGTACTTACGCACACATCTGAATTAAAAATCTTCTTAGTAGCGTAGCAAGTTGCCAGGCAAATATAGTGCTTGTGAAACCAGTAGTGAGAAAGGCTAAACGAATGGAGAGTGTTGAAAATGGGTTAGTTTTCTGGGCCAAATAATTGAAATTGGAGGTGCAAATAAAAGAAATACTTGTAAGCATGTTTAATAGATGATGTGTTTGCCTTTCAGAGCTCTATTTGTATGTGTACACTACATTCATGACCTGATTCGTTAGACTGCATAATGAGCTGGTGCTGTCAAAGCATTCGTGCATCTCTGTTTTCGGATGTGGCTGATGAATTTCCTATACAAGTTGATTCTTGTCCAAATATTTTCTCCATAATGTTCTCCATAAGCTGCCTGACATGTATTCCTGTCTTTCACATTCTTTCACTTGAAGTTCTAATCTTTGTCAGTCCTGACTGTTCCTCCCACAGTTGTATGTGGTCAAATAAAGTACAGACATAAAATAGCCCTTTTCATCACTGTACAGCAGGTTGTTCACCTTCAGTTGAATTAGGTGATATTTTTGTGCTTATCTATGGAATAGACGTTAGATGTGTCTTTGGAAGCTGATTGCTGTCAGATATCTTGTGAGCCTGCAGTGCTGAACAGTAGCATAGCAATTTCCTTGGAGTGTCCTGAACCTAGTAAAGTGTATAGATGAGTCCAGGTGGGAGGAACTGCTGTTAGTTTGTTTTCATTACGCTCATAATAAACTCATCTTCTCATTGTGTTTAGCAAACAAGACAGTGCTTAGTATAAGAAACCTACAATGTATCAGCTGGTGAAAACGATTTGTATTTTGACACAAAAGGATGAGATTACAAATCAGTTCTTATGAATGTGATCTGGGCGGCAGGCAATGCAAACCTCTTGAGTTCATTGCTGTGGATTGTATTTGAAAAATTGGTGGTATAGTTGTGAGACACTCAGGATGAGGTATAAGGGTTGTAGCAGAAAAGTGGTAAGAGTACATGTAGCAGGTCATGGAGGAGGAAGACAAGCTTTGAGATAAAGCTTCTCTAAACAGCATACTGATACCATTCAGTTTCTAAAACTGATATAGAGAAATGCCACTGTAGGTCACCTTCATTGTAAGTAGAGGAGAAGCCAAATGCAAATTCAGCAGGCGATAAGAGAAGTTTGAGTAGGTTTTCTTTTTCGCTGCTGGCTTAAGATGAAATGGGATGTGATTTCAGTAAAGAAGTTATCTATTTAGTTCTTAAAGGAAGGAAAGAACTATGGCTTTTTCAGAACTGTGCTGAAGAAGGGGTTAGAGTCAGAAGGGGAGAACTGTAATCTGGCACAGTAGCACCTTGGGGACCTGTTAGTTAGACACTGTCCCCTGTCTGAGGCGAGCAGGTAGGTGGTGTCTGTGCTGGGGACCAGAACAAGAAATGGGGTGCTGTATCAATGGCTGCAGCAAACAGGCTGGCCCTAGCTTTTTCATATGTGAGTCTGGGGATGAGCAAGATGAGGAAAGAGGATGGGATGGATAGACAGGAAGCTGAGAGAGGAGGATTCAGGGTGTGTTGGAGGACACAGCCTGCTAGTGTGAGAGCTGGTGAGTGTGCCTTGAGGGGCTGGTTTGTATACGTTTGTTAAGCAGCGTTCTCTGCTCTTCCTAACAAATACTGTGTATTGTTAAATGAGTGCATTTGCTTAGGTATCTTGTTTTTCCCTGAATGCTTCTTCCTTGCTTCTACTAACATTTACCTAATCCAGCTACATAACTAGACTGCAGTGTTTAGATAAGCTCGTGGTTCTTGCTGTGTTTTCTCAGGTTATGTATATGTTGTGCCTGTGACAGCACTTTCTATCTAGTGTCACTGCTTTCCTACACTGGTTACCCAGTCCCTTTATTTGTGCAAGTCTAGTGAAGCAGTGCTGAAGAGAAGTATTTTAAACCCAGAGAGCAGTCAGGCAAGCTGAAGAGTCTTGAGGGAAAAGACTCAATTCCAGGCCTAGAAAATCTGCATGAGGTTTTTTTCCTCGAATGAGTAGATAACAGATTCTTTACTTAAAACTGAGGGAGGAAAATGTTTGTTGTTATTATTTTCTTCTCTTGGGGTTGGAAAATGAAAATCGGTCAATTTTAGGGTTCTTCACAGGCCGACCTCTTAGAATCTTCATGCTAAGTTTGAAATGCTTTATTGGTGTTTCTAAAAACCAAAAAATATCTCCATAAAAGGTTTGTTGCTGAGAGAATAAAGCATAAGCCAGGCAGACTTGGATGAGTTTGGATGGTATTTTAAAACCATGGATTGCTTCTGTGTGTTGCCATCACACCTAATTGAAAATACTTGCTGCTTTTTGCTCAGTTTCCTTCCACGTTGCTGGTCCCTGTGTAAGGCAGGGTAGCTCGCTGAGGGGCAGCTGTTCCCAGGGCTGGGAACATTCCTTTTGACGTTGTCACGATGCTGCAAGTGCACACTTGGAGAAACAAGCAAAATGCAACTGGTTTTGTTGCTGCTGTGTTACAAAATTACCAAGTCTGCTTAAGAAGTAGCGGTTTCTAGTTACATAGCTTGATTTAAATGCTTATCATAGCAAATTTTGGTGTACTTGGTAAATAAAGCAGCTCATTTGATAATAAAATCACAGCAGTTTTAGCCTTGCTGTTAACTATTTGAGGTATCTTTGCAAGTCACTTCTTGGGAAACATTTCTATTTGCAGAACTTGCTCTTGCTGTGGGGAAGTTTTTCTAATTGCTACTGGTTTCTTACATTACAGAAACACAGTGGGTCTGCTGCTTCTATAGCTGGATATTTTCAAGGGGTAACAGCCAAAGTGGTTTCTATTACAGATCACAGGGCAAGTACATCCTGTGACTTGTATGCTTGCTTAATGTGGCTGCTTCGTAAGAGGTGTCTGTGTTTCTATTAAGGATTTAAAATGTGTAATAAACAATTTCTCTTGAAAAAAAGAGGAAATCTTTCTAAAAAAAAAAAAAAAAAAGAAAGATTTTGCTATCCCCAGCACAACTCAGCTGTGTCTGAGGAGCATATTTAGAACTTATTCATGCTGCATAGTGAAACAAGTTTTATTCAGGGCATAAGTGTGTTGACTCAATTTGTTGATGTTGTTCATTGTACAATGTTCACAGAAGTTCAGGCATCGGAATGAACTGGGTAAGTTAGTTGTCTGACCATCCATCTCCTTATCTAGACCTTGGCAGCCTCTTCAAAATGGAAGGAAAATTTTGGTAGTAGTTTTCCATGTATTCTTGCAGAGGCTTTTTAAGGCATGTCATTCTTTTAATGGCAGTCAAATTTTTCTGTTTGACTTTTGATCCACTTTCTGTTTACTGAATTTGAATCTTTCTCATTGAGCTCTTATTAGAAGCACTTCTGTAAGCCAGATATAATTGGAGATGTCACTTCACTTGACAAGGTTGCTTTTTGCACATACCCTGAATGGCAAAGTTAAATGCTAAAGCTCGGTTTCAGAATAAATTACTTTGTTTACCATCAGCATGTAAGTGTTTAAGGGAAGTAGGTATTTAAGTATGCATTGTAGGGAACTAGTCAATTCCTCTTGAAGGTTTCACAAGAGGTTGTGGAAATGATGGACTGCAAAAGGACATTAGATTGTTCTTTCACTTTCTCCTATCCGCTTCCCTTAAGCTGTGCATTCTGCAGCACCACATTGATACCTGTAATGCCCTTGTACCTTGCAGTGTCATTAGTTTAGACCTCATTCATGTGCTTGGTGTTAAGCAGTCAGATAACATTCACTGTAGTGAAGAACTCTAGGAAACTCTGTGTACAATTTGTACTGTCCTTCCTCTCGAGTTTGATGTAAATTGCGGAAGATAGAAGGTGTTAGTCAGGAAGACAGCAGTAAGACTATACCAGCTGCTGGTTCTCTGCTTATAAACTTTGTCTGAAACTGGCCTTACAACTCTAGAGTTTCAGCCCTTTTTATAACAGAAAATGCACCACTAACTTTTCAAGTTGCCACTTTGCTGTTATCTCTCTGTATCATTCTCTCAGTCTAGATAATGGAAAATTTTGGCTATGGTGGATGGTGAAGTGGCTTCCTTTATCCTCCCCTATGACATAAATTTACTATCATGAGCTTTTGGCCTTCAAACTCTACGTTCCTGTATCTTAAAGACTTATGTTAAATTCAGCTTGCTTCCTAATTTGGTAGTGGACAGGTATAACAACTGTATTGCTGTGAGTTCTGAACAGGAGTATTCTACTTGGCCTTAACTAAGTAATGCAGAAGTAAGTGCCTAAAATTGTTTTGTCAATGATCTCATAAATTCACTGTAGACTGCAAAAAATTCGGGTTAATAGATTCAAGCTCTTAGCCTTGAGAATATGTGATCTTGCTGCTAAAATATAAATAGAGCACATGTGGCTTGGAAGGAAGAAAAATGAGATGTTTAGTTGTATGCCAAGCGGAAGACAGGTTGAGGTCATCTAATAACCCTTTAAACTAATTACTAGTATCACTGTGGATGTGTTACTAAAAAAATAAAACCAAACAAACGCACAGAAATTACTGTGAAGGATATGGATGTGCTCTGAAATGCATCTAATGGAAGTTAGAAGCGAAGTTGATTCATAATTGGGGACACAAGTTCTTGCAAGCTAAACTTTTACCCAGACTTTTCTTACATTTATTATGCTATGGCTTATTTCTCATTCTTGCACAGAAAAAATTCCTTTGCATTCGTTCTTTCTTGATAGTTGTTCTTATCCACAACAAATACAGTTTGTTGAGAGTGAGCATTTCAGTGTATTGTGTTTGCAAGTAACACTGAGTTGTGTTTAAGTAACTGATCGCTACTTGCTGGTTTTAAGTTTTCAAATTGAGATCTTCTTCGTTAACCATAGGTGGTGCGTTTGTGTCAGAACCCAAAACTGGCATTGAAGAACAGCCCACCCTATATCCTAGATCTGCTGCCTGACACCTACCAGCATCTACGAACCATCCTGTCACGCTATGAGGGGAAGATGGAGACCCTGGGAGAAAACGAGTATTTCCGTGTGTTCATGGAGAACTTGATGAAGAAAACCAAGCAAACCATCAGCCTTTTCAAGTTAGCGGATGTATGAGGAGAACTCTCAGCCTAGGTAATGGGGAGAAATATTCTCAAATATTTATCATTTTTGTAGTGCAGCAGGTCGCTCTTAAAATATTTTAAATAACATTTATCTTGAAAATGGTTTTATGTGTTGCTCTCAAGTAATAGAATTGGTGTTACTTTCTAGAACACATACTGGTACCTCCAGAAGGAGGCTAAAATGGTATATAAAACCCTTTAGAATTTACCTGTGATATTTGTTCTCATTAACTGTGTGTGTGTTGTGAGCATCCGATGAGTAAGTGATAGCTATGTCAATCATAAATCCAACATCTTGCCTCTGGTCCCTTGGTTGTTTTTTTCAGAGAGAAGCAAAGAGAAAGAATTCCAAAGAGTTAATCATCCTAGTCAGTTTGTAGTCAAACTAATTGGTAAAAGGGGGTGGGTGAAATCCAAATCAATAGATATGAACTTCAGAAACAGCATTCCAGTAGAGGCTTGCTTTTTCACAGCAGTGATGGGAGTCTTTGGGGACTTCCTAATTGTACCATTTATGAATAAACAGCTTACTGGGGAAGCAACTGCGGTGAGACTTGTAAACATAAGAGTAAAAGCAGAATCACATCCCAGCTAGTCTCATTAGATGTTCATTTGCTTTCCACTCAGCCCAGGAAGCAGCAGTTACTGTTTTGTCATAAAGGGGAAATACAAGACAGCCTTTTTCTGATGCTGATAATGAGCATCTTAACTTTCTCAATTCCTTAATTTGTCATAGAAAAGAAAGCAGTTGGAGTAGTCAATGCATATGATTCCAATACCGGTTCAAGAGATACCTGCATAAAGAATAGCACTTTTGATTCAGCTAGGGATTCTGTTAAATACCACACTTCTAGGATCAGACTGTGGTTGTGTAGGCTTTTGGAGCCTGATCACTTTAAGTGCTATTTGTTTCATCTGAAATTTAGTTCAATTAATTGTTGCTGTAAAGGCACCTTTAGGTTTAAAATGTGTATAATAATTTAAGGTGAATAAATTTTAAAAAAAATCTGACCTTGTTAGGAGCCGAAGAAAATTACTACTTTTTTCCTTTTGTAAGATACTCAAATATTTTCAAATATTCAAAGTGTGGAGACAGTCTTTCTTGAAGATTCTCAGCACCCTGTAAAGCAAACAAATGTCACCTGAATCTGGTATTCACTGAAAATGTACTCATGGGAGTGTATGTATATATAAGAAAATCTGCTTTGCTCTTAATCTCATGCAAGGTGTGGCCAATGTTAGTCTGCAGTGTTTTGAAGACATGCCTTTAAAAATGTAATCTGGTGTAGTGAAGAATCGTTTTGTCTTGACTTTTCCTGACTTTTTTTTCTTGTTGTCCTTGAAGCTTCTTTCTTCCTGTCTTCCAGATTTAGCATTCATTTTGTTTCCTGTTGTGTATGTTCTTATTTTCCTCCCCCAAATGTCTGCTGATGCAGAGCAAATGCACTACTTTGCTAGTAGCAAACACCTGCAGAGCTTTCACACTAGCTATGCAAATGTCAAACAGACCAGTAATTAGAAACGACTGAAGTCGCTTCTAGATTGTAGGATCAGAATTGTCTTGATCACTTGAGCATCAGCCTTCTATATTTGTTATTTCTAAATTGCTCTTTGTGTATTTCCTCTCAAACTTTTTAGAGGTTCTCCAGTGTGCTTACCCAAGGTGGACTGAGGCAGAATTGGAGTACAGCTGTGGAGAGAGCCATGTCTTGTAGCTGCTTGTCCTGTTTTGAGAGTTCTGATAGCTGCAAGATGTGTGTCATCTAGCGTTAAGCAGTTTGGTATAGTGTTAGCTATGTGTTTAGAGTTGAATGTGTAGGAGTATAATATGGGTGCTGTTTGGTGTTTGCTGTAAGGCAGGCAGTTTATTCTCTGACTTTCAAACTAGAGTAGAGGAGCAAAGGTGCTGTGAACAGGGTGAGAAAAGGCTTGTGTGAGCATTCACTATGTTTACGGATGTGGGTGAGTGTTTGTTCCTTCAGTTTTTAACTAGTTGCAGTCATAGAGCTGTTAAAAATGAATGTAGGTCTCCTGTTACACCTTAACCATCAGCGTGCTGAAAGCATCCTTCTGTTGTGGCTAACTCCACAGTTAGGTGATATCCAATGCTATGAACACTCAGACACTCAGTGGCTTCCTCTTCTTAGGACTGTAACGGCTGTTTTGTCTCTGTAGTGCTGTGGTTATGATGTACAGTCCTTCAGCTGAAATTGTGACTTACATAAACTCATACTGCAGTTTTTGTGAAGAGAACTCACTTATTTATTAGGAGAGCTTTAGAGATGCTATTTAAACTCTGCTTTAGGTCACTTCCATGTCTGTTTAAAAATTAATGTTGTCGAGTGTGCTTTCAAAGCTATGTATGCACTTACTGACTAATAAGTACACACAGTAACTTCTAGTTACTGTTTACAGACTGAGTTTTAGCAAATACATCAGCTTTGACTTGGTGACTTCTGAGTAAGATGGTTTTTTTTGTTGGAGATATGCTATATTGCTTTTCTGAGTTTTGGCAGCTTAGGAGCTTATTTGGGTTATCCTTGCTATAGGTATGTAGGTCTATAAAAACAAATTATATATTTAAGCATCTGGTAAAATACAATGGTAACATCTATAGGCTTTGATATTGGAATTGAATAGTATTTGGAGAATTAGTAATTCTGGATATTGTCATATGATTGCAGTAAGATAAATGTAAATCATTCAATAATTAGTTGGCTTTGCTGCAGTAATTAGCAGGTATTGAGGCTATACACTTATCCAAAGCTGTTGTTTCCTGTTCTTTAACAGATCAACGGTGCTTTCTAATGCAAAAAGTATTTTAAGACTCACCACCTTAAGGTTTAAAACAAAACAAAAAAGCACCCAAAGGTGAAGTTTGTAGCCTATATAGGTGAAATAATGCAATAAAAGAATTTCTGTACAGGATCCTTAGCAGGTCTCTATACCAAGCAAAAAGGTACACCTGTTTAGCTCTGAGTAGCTTGGTGTGCTGCTACAGCGGTAAATATGTGACTTCTCTGACACTGTAAATATTGTCAATTTCTCGAGTTTACTTTTTAACTAGAGATAACAAAAACTGGTTAAACATACGTATTGCTTTTCCTTCATTGTGGTGCTTCCATTGAAGCATCAAGTGCCATTAATGCTAATGCCACAACTGCTCTGAGCATGCTGAACTTGCTTAAGCTCTTGATTACAGTTTAATTTAGATGCATAGTGGTTATACTGGAATAGTTTTTGTTTCTATTGCAGAAAGCTTTTACTCCTCCAGACCTCTTGCACAGAGGAGCTTTCATTTGCAGCTTTCCCCGCTTCATAAATTACTTATTGCAGCAGCTTTTTTGCAGTGGTGTAAATATTCTTCACATGGCAGGACAGAAGAATAGCTTGCTGATCACTAAACAGGGATAGGAATTGTCTGTTACTTAGAAAAGGATGAATTAGGCTGAAGTGTCCATTTTTCTCCAATGAATCAAATTTTCTGATTATGTGAAACCAGTCTATTATGAGGGAAAATTATTTTCTAAATAAAATCAGACCACTGCAAATGTTTCCACACTAGAATGCAGTTACGTAAGCTGGAGGATAGGGGTTAGGTGAAAGGCTGAGAAGTAATTACTCAGGATATGGATTGGATGTTTAAGAAATAGCACAAGTCATTTTACTAGTTCAGCTTGCATACTTTGGAAAACAAACTGTTAGCAAACCCAGTTAACAAAACTTAACATATCTGTAGAGGAGAATGAGATTAGGTGGGGAATATCATAAACCCTCTCCATAGGATGTGAAGTTGCAAAAAAGCTTTGGGAAGCTAGTCCATATTTACCTGTTGTCTTTGTGACAGGAGCCTTATGGAATGCTGGCTCAGCAGGATTGCATATTCTTCTCTAGCTCCAAAGCGAAGACTTACTAATTTACACAGGAAAAAGCTACCGATATTTAATGTCTCCTGGAAATGACCATGCAGATCTCTAAAGGAAGAGGAAGCGCATGAAGAATGACTTGGGGGAGAAGTTGGATTTTAAAGAGGAAAAAGTTGGAAAACACTTGTGCTAAGCCATGAACCAGTAAAGCCCTTTGGGGGAAGGGCATTAGTGCTCTAATCTCATATTTTAGAGTGCTTGCACAGATTCCTCTGCAGTGAAAAAGAGATAGTATAAAATGTGGAACTCGAGCGGTGAATAGTGTGAGTCCTCTTTCTGTCACTTCCTTCTAATACAGCTAAGACTTTTTTTTTTTTAACAAAACCCACTAGTGTGAAGAAGCCTACATCTGCATTTAAATTAGAACATCTTAAAGAAAAGAACAGGCTCCAAAGCAGCCCACAAGAAAGGTTTCCTTGCCAGGCTTCAGCATATGAACACTAACTAACTGCTTATTACCCAAGAAGAAATTCATTATCATTTAAATGTTGTTGGAGGGAGAAAAGTGTTATTTCTTTTTAATTTGGCTTTAAATTGCTAGTTTAGGTGATAGTTGTGGAACTTAAGTAGCACTTAGCATAGCTGGCGTAAGCTTACATTTAGTTTAGTTTTCTTTCTGTCAAAAATTGACCACAGTCTTGAAAATCAAATTATGGACAAATGTAAACTTTCAAACTATTGCATAATCAGGAAGTAATATTGTGTTATTCTTTGCTCTCAGAGCCTATAACATCATAAAGTTTTATGGAAGATTAACTCTGAGGGCTTGATGGTGTGGATGGAAGTGCAAGCATGTTATTTAGTTTGTAGTAATTATAATTTGAAATGTGGTTAGGTTTCTCGATGCTGGCAAAAATGTGTTGCTGCTACTTGGCAACTGTATCCTGTTTCTTGGGTGCTTGGCTTGTGTATTAAGGGCTGAGATGCCATGTGTTGTATTTCTATGCTATTTAAATCCAGAAAAATAAGTGGATTTTTAGCCTCTTCACTTTGAAGGAGAACTAGCTTGTTAAAAATACACCATTAGCATTTGTGCCTAGAATAATAAAAATCCAGATCCTCTAAGGGTCAATGGGTTTGGTGC